AGAGAGTGTGGGCGGAGTCTCTCTGCAAGAGCACTGCACTCGCAACCAAATCACTCAAAAATTACAGCCAATCAGAAGAGAGTGTGGGCGGAGTCTCTGTAAACGCACCGCACTCGCAACCAAATCACTCAAAAATTACAGCCAATCAGATGAGAGTGTGGGCGGAGTCTCTGTAAACGCACCGCACTCGCAACCAAATCAATCAAAAATTACAGCCAATCAGAAGAGTGTGTGGGCGGAGTCTCTCTGCAAGAGCACTGCACTCACAACCAAATCACTTAAAAAGTGTGTGGGCGGAGTAACATAAAGTGACATTAAACTTTTAAAAGTATAACAATAATAAAAAAATGCTCTTATTATGTGCTTTATTTAATTATAATAATAATATAAGTATTGTCATACTTTTATTGTCATACTTTGTAACAAAATAACAAAATGACTTTTGATGTACTTTGCTTTGTACAAAATGACTTTTGAATGAACAATTGATGTAGTAACCGTGGAATATGAGGAATAAATGACTTCAATTATTGATAAATAAAGGAATCTTAATTAAATAATATAACAATCTATTTTTGGACTGTTTTTAATAATTCACCAATCAGTTGTCCATTATTCCTCATGTAACACACGGCTTATTGCTCTTTAAAACAGAAAACAAAGAGCACTAATTCTGTGTATAGTGATGTTAGTTGTGTTCACTCCTTGTTCTAGAGACAAGCTGTCCAAGACCTTTTATTGTGTGTGTGAAGGCCACATGTGAGATCTGTCAGAACGACGTGTGTGTGTGTGTGTGTGTGTGTGCAGCGCTGCGTCCACACTCTCAGCGCTGGAGTGTCCTCTGAACACACTGCTGGCGGGACACCGGCTGGTCCTGCCCTTCTGTGGAGTCGGACACTTTAAACAGGAGGTGGCGTTCGTCCAGATCGCAGAAGGAGAGCATCTGAACACACTCACGCTCATCGCAGGTACAGCGCTCTTCCTCACTCCACATTAAACACACTCCATTCGTTCAGCCAAATCAGCTCATTTATTCATGCTGTACTGCGGTTAATGATGCAAATATGAAGAGATCACTAGCGTCCGAGTTCAAGCGAAGCAGACCGCGATCATCCCTTCGTTACAGAGCCAAATAAACATCAATGAACATCAGAAAATATGCGGAGAGATACAGTCCAACTTCCTGAAATGCGTATCATGTAATCGTGCAATCAGTGTTTGAAAGGCAGAAAGACATCAATAACACAGCTGTAAACATGCTCTTTCGCCACCAAGTGGACAGGAGAGAGAATTACAGTTACAAGGGACAATACTTCACTCTCAGCCAGTGTTGGGTGTAATAGTACTGTAATTTAATTACTTTTCCCTTGAAAGTGTGAAGTAAGGGATTACTCTTCATTTATCTGTAATTTAATTACAGTTACTTCTGATGTAATTGAGGTAAATACTGTGTATAGATCAATCCGATCTCACAGCGATTCGTATGCATTTTATGAGGTGTCTAAATATTACGACCGCACTCGTACAAATTCGTATGAATTATTGTAAAATATGTATGAAAAAAGTGTGAAAAGTCATGAGATCAGACATAAAACAATAATGGGTTTAACATCAAAATGTCTTGTCTGATGCTAAAAAGTATGTTTTTATAATGTAACCTTCTCCACCTTGGTCAGTTTAAGGGTAATTCATGCAATTTTATAGTATTTATTTGAAAGAATTATACGGAGGCGTATTGCATTCACTTGAAGAAAAAAAATCTGCTCTGTTTTTCTGAATTAACGACGAGTTAATTTTTCATGAGAAACTTTTTTTTGCTCTGTTTTTCTGAATTAACGAGTTAATTTTTCATGAGAATTTTTTTTGTTCTGTTTTTCTGAATTAATGAGTTAATATTTTAATGAGAAAAAAAGTTTTTGCTCTGTTTTTCTGAATTAACGAGTTAATTTTTTTTTGCTCTCTTTTTCTGAATTAATGAGTTAATTTTTCATGGAATTTTTTTTTTTGCTGTTTTTCTAAATTAACTCGTTAATTCAGAAAAACAGAGCAAAAACTTTTTTTCTCACGAAAAATTAACTCATTAATTCAGAAAAACAGAGCAAAAAATGTTCTCATGAAAAATTAACTCGTTAATTCAGAAAAACAGAGCAAAAAATGTTCTCATGAAAAATTAACTCGTTAATTCAGAAAAACAGAGCAAATTTTTTTTTTGCTGAATTAACTCATTAATTCAGATTTTTTTCTGAATTAACTCATTAATTCAGAAAAACAGAGCAAAAATTTTTTTCTCATGAAAAATTAACTCATTAATTCAGAAAAACAGAGCAAAAAATTTTTTCTCATGAAAAATTAACTCATTAATTCAGAAAAACAGAGCAAAAAATTTTTTCTCATGAAAAATTAACTCATTAATTCAGAAAAACAGAGCAAAAAAATTTTGCTCTGTTTTTCTGAATTAATGAGTTAATTTTTCATGGATTTTTTTTTTGCTCAGTTTTTTTTCTGAATTAACGAGTTAATTTTTCATGGATTTTTTTTTTGCTCTGTTTTTCTGAATTAACGAGTTAATTTTTCATGGAATTTTTTTTGCTGTTTTTCTGAATTAACTCATTAATTCAGAAAAACTGAGCAAAACAAATTTTTTTTATCATGAAAAATTAACTCATTAATTCAGAAAAACAGAGTAGATTTTTTTTCTTCAAGTGAATGCAATACGCCTCCGTAGAATTAAAACAGATTCATGTCTATCCTTCAGCTGGTTGAGATTGATATGGGATTTTGAAAGTAATTAGTAATTAAAAGTAATTAAATACTTTTTAGAGAGAGTAATTTGTACAATAATCTAATTACATTGTTGAAGAGGTAATTAGTAACTAGTAATTAATTACTTTTTTAGATTAACTTACCCAACACTGCTCTCAGTGTACTCTCTGTCTAAAGGACGGACAGCTTTCAGATTGTTATGTCATCTGCTGAAAAAATCCTCCAATGACTACAAAAATTTGGTCAACACAACCTCTGACGTACATGCTGTACAGAAATGACAAAACTATCATCATTAGCCGCCTAACTGTTCCTTACACATGACTGACTTTATTCTGCGGACCGTAAGAGAGGATGTTTTGAGAGATGCCTCGTTGTGGAAGTCAGTAGAGTCCAAAACTGTCTTTTGTGAACATTGAGCACTGATTGATCGATTGATTATGCAGATATCACTTCCGCATGTCACACAGTAACATATTAGCATAACGCCGCTCAAAGACGTATGCTAAGAAAGAAGGCGTTTCGGTGAGTTATAATGTTGTTGTCGTGGCGATCTGCTTTATTTAATCCGTCTCGGGCTCGAACTGAAACGGTAAAACCAGCGCCTGAAGCTTACGATTATGGTAATGGGTCGACGATTATTAAAGCGCTTTGGGTGTGCAGTATATAAATGCCTAATTCATTCATTCATGGTAAGGTATGTTACGTTTCCGACACGCGTGTGGACACTGGCTCAGCTGGCCAATCAGAGCACTCTGAGCTCTTTAGAAGGCGGGGCTTTGCAGAAATCAGTGCGGACCAGAGCATCTGCAATAATGTTTTACTGCTTCCAGTATTGGCGACATGTAAAAAAGCCTCTAATATTCACTGATTGAGTTTATATGAGCTCAGGATTTCAGACCCCCATTTGAAATCGAGTGCAAACACTTTCTAGACTTAGAACAAGACACTGAGAGCTCAGACTGCTAATGCCATCTCTCTGTATTGATTATGTCTTGTCTTACATTGAGGACGGTGAGACAGTCTCGGTCCGGTCTGCGGGAGGCTGTAAATAGCCTATCCCAGGATGCATCAGTGTCTCAGAGGCTGTGTGTGTGTTCTTTCTGTCCGCCCAGAGAGTGTGAGGAAGGCGTTTGAGGAGAGAGGCATCGTGTCTGGAGATGACAAAGCCTTCAAACCTCATCTGACGTTTCTCAAACTCTCACGAGCTCCCAAACTACGCAAGCAGGTAAGAAGCGCACGTGTGTGTGTGTGTGTGTGTGTAACACTGTATTGAGTCAATGACAACAGTGGTCAGTGCAATTTAATTTTGGAAATCATGACTAATTATTCTTCCACTAAATAATATAGTTTATCTGTGCAGCCACAGTTAAGTGTGTGTATAATTCATGCAAAAATAAATAATTTTTATTTTTTTATTTTTTATTGAGAGTGCACCTGACGTGCCCATTTTGAAAGCTAATAACTATGCAGAACCGTTCAAAGGTTTGGGGTCAGTAAGACTGTAATTTACTTTTATAGAAATGAATACTTTTATTCACTAAGGATGCATTGAATTGACGGTAATACATTTATAATGCACTTTCTGTTCATCAAAGAATCCTGAAAAATAAAATATATCAATAAAATATTTTCTTGTTTTCAACACTGATGATAATCATAAATGTTTCTTGATTATCAGATCATCATATTAGAGTGATTTCTGTACTGCCTGAAACGAGTCGTCAGTAGTTCCTGCCATTGGTTTGTCACTAATTTGCATAATGCCAGCCTCCGGTCTTGACTGGCTGAACAACGTCTACTTTGCCCCTCAAACATTGTAGTTTATCTGAGACTGGAAGAGTTTGGTTCGTGTTGTTCATGTTGAAAACATGCCGTCTTCTGCTGCCAAAGCAAATCCACCAATTACAACAGACTGGACCATCTGTCCTCCAGTCCTCGTTAGTATAGTGGACAGTATCTCACGCGGAAGGCCGGGGTTCGATTCAGTAAAAGGCGAAAGATTTATGCGTGAATGAAGAGAAACTCGAGCTGTAACCATGAAACGTTGGGACCGATCACAACAGACTGGGCCATCTGACCAATCAGAGCAGAGTAGGCCAATAACAACAGACTGGGCCATCTGACCAATCAGAGCAGAGTAGACCAATAACAACAGACTGGGCCATCTGACCAATCAGAGCAGAGTAGGCCAATAACAACACACTGGGCCATCTGACCAATCAGAGCAGAGTAGGCCAATAACAACACACTGGGCCATCTGACCAATCAGAGCAGTGTAGGCCAATCACAACAGACTGGGCCATCTGACCAATCAGAGCAGAGTAGGCCAATCACAACAGACTGGGCCATCTGACCAATCAGAGCAGAGTAGACCAATAACAACAGACTGGGCCATCTGACCAATCAGAGCAGAGTAGGCCAATAACAACACACTGGGCCATCTGACCAATCAGAGCAGAGTAGGCCAATCACAACAGACTGGACCATCTGACCAATCAGAGCAGAGTAGGCCAATCACAACAGACTGGGCCATCTGACCAATCAGAGCAGAGTAGACCAATAACAACAGACTGGGTCATCTGACCAATCAGAGCAGAGTAGGCCAATAACAACACACTGGGCCATCTGACCAATCAGAGCAGTGTAGGCCAATCACAACACACTGGGCCATCTGACCAATCAGAGCAGAGTAGGCCAATAACAACACACTGGGCCATCTGACCAATCAGAGCAGAGTAGGCCAATAACAACACACTGGGCCATCTGACCAATCAGAGCAGAGTAGGCCAATAACAACACACTGGGCCATCTGACCAATCAGAGCAGAGTAGGCCAATCACAACAGACTGGGCCATCTGACCAATCAGAGCAGAGTAGGCCAATCACAACAGACTGGGCCATCTGACCAATCAGAGCAGAGTAGACCAATAACAACAGACTGGGCCATCTGACCAATCAGAGCAGAGTATGCCAATAACAACACACTGGGCCATCTGACCAATCAGAGCAGAGTAGGCCAATCACAACAGACTGGACCATCTGACCAATCAGAGCAGAGTAGGCCAATCACAACAGACTGGGCCATCTGACCAATCAGAGCAGAGTAGACCAATAACAACAGACTGGGTCATCTGACCAATCAGAGCAGAGTAGGCCAATAACAACACACTGGGCCATCTGACCAATCAGAGCAGTGTAGGCCAATCACAACACACTGGGCCATCTGACCAATCAGAGCAGAGTAGGCCAATAACAACACACTGGGCCATCTGACCAATCAGAGCAGAGTAGGCCAATAACAACACACTGGGCCATCTGACCAATCAGAGCAGAGTAGGCCAATAACAACACACTGGGCCATCTGACCAATCAGAGCAGAGTAGGCCAATCACAACAGACTGGGCCATCTGACCAATCAGAGCAGAGTAGACCAATAACAACAGACTGGATCATCTGACCAATCAGAGCAGAGTAGGCCAATAACAACACACTGGGCCATCTGACCAATCAGAGCAGAGTAGACCAATCACAACAGACTGGATCATCTGACCAATCAGAGCAGAGTAGGCCAATAACAACACACTGGGCCATCTGACCAATCAGAGCAGAGTAGGCCAATAACAACACACTGGGCCATCTGACCAATCAGAGCAGAGTAGGCCAATAACAACACACTGGGCCATCTGACCAATCAGAGCAGAGTAGACCAATAACAACAGACTGGGCCATCTGACCAATCAGAGCAGAGTAGGCCAATAACAACACACTGGGCCATCTGACCAATCAGAGCAGTGTAGGCCAATCACAACAGACTGGGCCATCTGACCAATCAGAGCAGTGTAGGCCAATCACAACAGACTGGGTCATCTGACCAATCAGAGCAGAGTAGTCAAATCACAACAGACTGGGCCATCTGACCAATCAGAGCAGAGTAGGCCAATAACAACAGACTGGGCCATCTGACCAATCAGAGCAGAGTAGGCCAATAACAACACACTGGGCCATCTGACCAATCAGAGCAGAGTAGACCAATAACAACACACTGGGCCATCTGACCAATCAGAGCAGTGTAGGCCAATCACAACAGACTGGGCCATCTGACCAATCAGAGCAGTGTAGGCCAATCACAACAGACTGGGCCATCTGACCAATCAGAGCAGTGTAGGCCAATCACAACAGACTGGGCCATCTGACCAATCAGAGCAGTGTAGGCCAATCACAACAGACTGGGCCATCTGACCAATCAGAGCAGTGTAGGCCAATCACAACAGACTGGGCCATCTGACCAATCAGAGCAGTGTAGGCCAATCACAACAGACTGGGTCATCTGACCAATCAGAGCAGAGTAGTCAAATCACAACAGACTGGGCCATCTGACCAATCAGAGCAGAGTAGGCCAATAACAACAGACTGGGCCATCTGACCAATCAGAGCAGAGTAGGCCAATAACAACACACTGGGCCATCTGACCAATCAGAGCAGAGTAGACCAATAACAACACACTGGGCCATCTGACCAATCAGAGCAGTGTAGGCCAATCACAACAGACTGGGCCATCTGACCAATCAGAGCAGTGTAGGCCAATCACAACAGACTGGGCCATCTGACCAATCAGAGCAGTGTAGGCCAATCACAACAGACTGGGCCATCTGACCAATCAGAGCAGTGTAGGCCAATCACAACAGACTGGGCCATCTGACCAATCAGAGCAGTGTAGGCCAATCACAACAGACTGGGTCATCTGACCAATCAGAGCAGAGTAGTCAAATCACAACAGACTGGGCCATCTGACCAATCAGAGCAGAGTAGGCCAATAACAACAGACTGGGCCATCTGACCAATCAGAGCAGAGTAGGCCAATAACAACACACTGGGCCATCTGACCAATCAGAGCAGAGTAGACCAATAACAACACACTGGGCCATCTGACCAATCAGAGCAGTGTAGGCCAATCACAACAGACTGGGCCATCTGACCAATCAGAGCAGTGTAGGCCAATCACAACAGACTGGGCCATCTGACCAATCAGAGCAGTGTAGGCCAATCACAACAGACTGGGCCATCTGACCAATCAGAGCAGTGTAGGCCAATCACAACAGACTGGGCCATCTGACCAATCAGAGCAGTGTAGGCCAATCACAACAGACTGGGCCATCTGACCAATCAGAGCAGTGTAGGCCAATCACAACAGACTGGGTCATCTGACCAATCAGAGCAGAGTAGGCCAATCACAACAGACTGGGCCATCTGACCAATCAGAGCAGAGTAGGCCAATAACAACAGACTGGGCCATCTGACCAATCAGAGCAGAGTAGGCCAATCACTACAGACTGGGTCATCTGACCAATCAGAGCAGTGTAGACCAATCACAACAGACTGGGCCATCTGACCAATCAGAGCAGAGTAGGCCAATAACAACAGACTGGGCCATCTGACCAATCAGAGCAGAGTAGGCCAATAACAACACACTGGGCCATCTGACCAATCAGAGCAGAGTAGACCAATAACAACACACTGGGCCATCTGACCAATCAGAGCAGTGTAGGCCAATCACAACAGACTGGGCCATCTGACCAATCAGAGCAGTGTAGGCCAATCACAACAGACTGGGCCATCTGACCAATCAGAGCAGTGTAGGCCAATCACAACAGACTGGGCCATCTGACCAATCAGAGCAGTGTAGGCCAATCACAACAGACTGGGCCATCTGACCAATCAGTCATTTGTGGAAAATGGGCATCCGATGAAGTCCTTGATTAGAGAGAGAAGAGCTGATGCTGCAGTGGATGTTATGAGACAATTAACTCTTTCCCCGCCAGCATTTAAAAAAAAAAAAAAAAGGTTTCCAGCTACTGTCAGCATTTTTGATCATTTTCACAAAAAATGTCATGGCCCCCAGAATATTTTGTTTTATGAATATCTGAAAATGCAATACATCAAAAGAAAAAAAGAACAGAGCCTTTTATTCTAGCTTCATGCATTACTTTTTTCTCAACACTTGAATGTGTGCAAGTGTCATAAAAATGCTAGCCTGACTCGTCATACTCAGATGCTAGTCAGAATGTGAGATGCTGATTACGGGGTGTTTCAAACATAGACTGTAAAAAATATGGACAAAGCGTCTGTGACGTCACCCATAGATTTTCTGAAGAACAGTTTTGAAGCTGTTTATGGGGGGTGTGGGCGGCGCCATATTGGAAAATACAAAGTTTCAGAAAGGATACAGAGGTGGTATGATGTGTTGTCAGATCATGGCCGAGACGTCAAATTCCACTCGGCGCAGCCCGTTATCAGCTGTCAATCAAAGTTAACCACCCTTATTTATCATACATTTTATATCTAAATAATCTAAACTAACAAGTTAGAAACAAATTCACCCCCCTCACAAGTTGTCAGGGATTCGGAACCTATCGAAAAATACAATAAAAGTCCATGGGACCAAACTATAAACATATGAATTTATGCTGTGAAAACGGATATTATAACATGACGTCTATGGATATTTGCTCCCTTTTGGGACCGGTGTTCTGACAATTCATGCTACCCATCGAGATTTCCTACTTACCGCTTATGCGCATGTGCAGACTCACAGTTTTTTTTATTTTATTTTTTTTTACAAAAGGTACATTTTCCTGATATAATGTATAATTTCCCTTTAAAAATGCTTCAGTTTCTATAAGAAAAGGTGTACTTTGACAAGTCAAAGATGAATATTTTATGATAATTTTTACTTTTCACACCGTTTTAAAAATAAAAACAGTAGTCTACAGTATACAGTAGCTACTCATAACTTAGAATTGTATTAGAATTGTATTTCATACGACTTTAATCGGCATTCTGTGATCAATTCGCGCTACGGTAGCATTTTTCGACAAGGCAGCAAAAATCGACAGAACACCGGCCTCTAGTGGATTTTTGATGTATTGCAGTTTTTCGCACTTCCGGTTAGGCTTCATCTTTCAGATTAGAATGTTGCCGCTTGGTATCAACCCAACCAGGGAAGAAAACGCCTCTGTACTCAATTGGATGGACGGCAAAAACATCTTTGCAATCGACAAATACCTTGATCTCGGTTCTCTGATCCGCTTTTAAACGGTGTTGGGGAGTAGTTAACTACAAGTAGCGACGCTACTAACTTAACTACATTTTTTAGTAGCTTGGCAGTAGCTCAGTTGCTTTTTAAACAGTGTAGCTTTTCCAGTAGCTAACTACTTTTTGCAGCAAGTAGCGGTGTAGCGCGAGCAAAAGCTACATCGCGTTTGTCGAGCCTGCGCGAATCAGCGCGATTCAAGGTTATTCTTCTTCTTGTTAGATTACAAACTCATTTTTTGCCATTACCGCCACCTGTTGTTTAATCACGCATCTTGCGCCTAACGGTTCACTGACGTACAGAAGTGGGTTGACACACCCATGTTATGATTATATAGCAAGACGTGACGGCAGATTTGGAGGATGGAGAAACAACTAACGTTAATTACACATGGCCTTATTTGTCCAAGTTCAATCGGTATTTTTGAGAAAATGTTCTACATGCAATTTACGTTGGATGTATATTTTGTTCTTGCAATGTTGTAGGGTATTTGTTGCAATTTTGCACTTTTGACAAACATCTGAGATATTTGAGTGTTGTGTGAAATAAAACAATACTCTTTAAAATCATAATTGTATTGCATTGTTTTAAACACTAAATATTTTACTTAAAAACATTCCTCAGACACTTATTCCGTTATTAATAATATACGTTGTTCAAAAAGCAAAAGTAGTTTCAATGTAGCTAGCTACTTTTTGATAGTAACTTGTAGTGTAGCTAACTACTTTTCCAAAAGGGTAGCTTGACTGTAGTTTAACTACTTTAACAAATGAGTAGCTTGTAGCTTGTCAAACTATAGTTTCAGAGTAGCTTCCCCAACACTGCTTTTAAATGAATGTGCAGTCTACATCTTCTATAATGCTACGTTCACACCGGACGCGAATCGCGCGTCAAATTCGTGCCTGACGCGTCTAGTTTGACGCTTGACCACTTTGTGTTATTTCGCGTGTCAAGAGCGAAACTGGCGCGCGTAAAAACAAAAGTTTGATGCGAAATTTACGCGCGTCAGAATCGAAATCCGTTGGCGGCCATTGTTTTTATGTCGACCGAGCATTCATCAAGAGAGTCACCGCTCTGTATTTACTCTGGAGAGCAGAACAGCGGCGTGGGGATCATCGTCGCCGTATATTTGTGTCCACCGGACCCTTCGGAGCCGAACCGTTTGGCGAGTTTCACCATTAGCTCGCTCCAGGAGCTGCGCTGGATGACGGCCGCTGTCAGCGGTACTTCCGCCTGTCACGCGCCCAGTCTGATGACATGTTGTCCCGCATCGGATCGAGGATCACCCTCGCCCTCATCCACCTAATCTAGCTATCATTTATTTTTGTTTTGATAATAAATAGAGCCAGCCTTCAAAAGTTATTAACCTGTCCTGTGATTTTTCACGTCCAGACACGAATTTATGCACATATGTTGATTGTCTTTACAACATAATAATATTTCATATAATCTAGCTATGGAATGAATAACATTCAATACAAAATGAACATGTCTCGTATATAGAAATAATGTTTTAAGTGATAAAACATTAGCTTTGTTGTGCATAATCCCACTAGTCATAATAATTAATTGAAGCATCCAGACACTTCACCACGTGAGCAAGCAGCTATGCTCCTGATTGGTTAACGCGGCGCGAATTCACGCCAAAGTTCAGATTTTTCAACTCGGGCGGCAGACGCGAATTCGCGTCAAACGCGTGAATGCACAAATGGCACATTCACACGTAACACGCTTAACGCGCCAGACGCTCAATTCGCGCGAACTTGACCCGCGAATTGAGGCGTATTCGCGTCTTCCGCGCCGCGCTCCATGGCTCATTCGCGCCGCAGGAATTTTTCACGCGCGTAAAGCGTCTTTGCATTGACTTAACATTGAAATCATTCGCGCCTGACGCCCTACTCGCGTCCGGTGTGAACGTAGCATAACAGGCGCATGTAACCTATAGTAGGAGAAAACAAAACAACATTAGGAGCCTTTAAACTAGCATAATAGGATATTTTACAGTATTACAGTATTTCTGATTAAAGAATTGCAGACTTGTTTCATAAACATTAAAAAATCTAAAGTGCTCTAGTTTGATGGTGTTATGCGGATGAAGGATGTTCAGACAGTGAGGGGTGAGACTGGCGCCAGATCATCACTCACACACACACACAATCAAATCAAACACACATTACCCAGCTTTAACCTGCTCAGACTCGTGCGCTTCCACTCTAGTGTTCACACTGCTCTTCTGAAGACAGAGACAGGGTCTGAGACTCTCTGCACATCCGCTGAGCTGTTCAGCTGTGTGTGTACGTGACAGACGGACTGATGCTTCTTCTCCGTGTGGAGGACACAGATAGGGGCGTGTGTGTGTGTGTGTAATCTTCCCACAGCTCAGGCTTCCTCTTGAGGTTATCGGCCCGACACACACTTCCAGCCCCACTGGTGTGTCTCTTGTGTGTGTCCTTCAGTTTGCTCTGGACTCAGTGTGTGACGTGTGTGTCTTCGCAGGGCGTTAAGAAGCTGGATCCAGCGCTGTTTTCCGACTTCGAGAGCCGTGTGTTCGGAGACGAGTGTGTGTGTAGAGTGGACCTGTGCTCCATGCTCAAGAAAAAGACCTCAGATGGATACTACCACCGCGAGAAGAGCGTCACGTTCAGTGAGTAAACCTACTCGGGATGAAAGTGTGTGTGTGTGTGTGTGTGTGTGTGTGCTTCTGGACTGGATGGGTCTTTGACATCAACATCTTCTGGCTTGTGATTTGGGCTCAGGTTTGCAGGTCATTTCCAAACTATAAATGAAATGTTTTCTTTTAGCCTGGTACTGTGTGATGTAGGGCTGTCAATCTTCCTCTATAATACTATTCGAATTATATTCCTTATTTTATGTAATATTCGAATAATATTCGAATATTAAATGCTCAAATTTATCCTATAATTAATATTTACGACATTACACATTCTTATGGATCGTCAATGCCACTATAGCCTGTGGTTGTTGTTACACGTTCGGCCCACTAGAGGGACATCTAACATTACTACAATAAACATTTAGGGGCTGTTTACACCTGGCCACTTCATGCGTTTTCTCAGATCGGATAGCTCTGATTTATCAAAACGATTCCATTTACACCTGCTCACATAAATGTGTTTTTGCAAAACAGATATAAATCCAATCTTCAATTCCCGCGCTATATACAGATGTAATGAAGTGCACGTCACGAAAGCAACAGATTTGAGCTGCATTTATTGATCATCGGCTAATTTCAAAATCAGCAAAGACAGCAATAAGAGAGAGCGGCAACAGCCCTGGTAATATCATTTCATTCCTTTACTTTTAATGAAGATGGTAGTGTTAAGCGTCTGCGACTTACTTTCACTTTGATTTGCGCTAGATTGCGGCGCGTTGGCTTGATGAATAGGGGCTCAGATCTGAGGTGATGTGATCGTCATATCACGTCGGAAGTTCCGGGAGTCTCCCGCATATTGATAGCGTCTCCCTGATGGCCGCAAATTAGTTAAAATCTCCCGGAATCCGCGCATAACATACATAGCGCGCGGCGCGTGCATGGCAGAGAGGGAGTGAACGAGACCTTGCGAATGTGCCACACGAAAGCTAGTCCCGCGCTCTCCTATTGTTAATAAGAAAGCGATAAGGGGCCGTTTACACCTGGTCACTTCGGAGGTATATATTTATTTTTAAATATATAAAAGCAATATTCGAATAGTAACTTTAGCATTCGAATAGTATTGATTTTTTTAATATTCGAATTATATTCGAATTTCGGAATTCGTTCCAACAGCCCTAGTGTGATGGCATCAGATGAACAGTGTTTCCTCTTTCTGTGTGTTACCTTGACCGAGTAATTCACGTTAATTTGTCAGTAAAAGTCTTCGTGAAAGCTACTGATTACACTTCCTCATGTTTGTATTCCCGCCCACGACTGTCGGATCAGCAGAGGGTTATTACCAGGACAGTTATTGTACGGTTAGGGTTAATATCATACTTTGTCTACTCTTTGAACTGCATTATGGTAAAACTGGATCACTATGGCAACATCTTTCTTACCTGAATGCGACAGTTTTGCTTCTGGTGGAACTGGCAGAACATCGGTTTCTTTCAGTTTTCCCCTTCGTGTGGTCTAAAACCAGTTTGCTCCTGTTTGTTTGTGCTCATCCAGTCTGAAATGTTGACTACAATCATTGGGGTTTATCATATTATCAGTCTCTTTCTTCTCTCTGTATTTAAGATTATTTGTGCCCTTTAGCCGCTGTCTACAAAGCTCTGGACCCTATTCTGGAAACACAAATCAACTCCCTATAAACATTCACTCTTTGAATTCTTGCACCCGGGAGCGATACAAGGCGACGCCATTATGAGTAAAGTTTGCTAAGAAGTATTTCCTACTAAAGCAAGCCGGGATTTGACTCTGGAAAGCAGATAAAGAACAGGCTGGTGGGTGTGGCATGGACTGCAACAAGCCCAGTGCATTATGGGTGTTGAAGATTTCCTACCGTTTTGGCAAAAAAAAAAACAACAGCCTTTTTCTCAGTTCTCTGTAGCCAGGTAACACTGATGTTTTCACCTTTCTACTCCATAGGCAGACAAGTTTTATTGAAAGCTCATCCAGCCAGGTGCTGAAGTTTCCCTATATTGAGTACCATATTTTTAAGGCAAGACAATACAGGTTAAAACCAAGCTTGCCACAGAAGCCCCCTGGTGGCTGGTACTAGTATAGGTCATAAACCCCGTCTCCTCCATGTTATTCAACGACAGTGAGATGAACTAAGCAATTAAATTACACTTCAAATATCTTTTTTCCAAAGATGGTTTGTCATTTACGGTAGTTTTTATCATGCTGATGTAATTTCAAGTGTTTGTTTTTAAAATAAGTTTGTTTTTAGTTAGTTATTTAATGTGGTGGTGGTGACGTCATGATTGGCAGCTGTGATTGACAGGTTCTCTGAGCGAAGTAGCCACTGAAGCACTTTAATATCGAAATTTCTATAATTAATTAAAAAAGTGCAGGAGCGTGTGCTTGTGATTGGTTTTGCAAGAGTGAGGGCAGGGCCTTGATTTTGCGGCTTTACATCCTGCTCATTTCTGCGCAGGTCCGGTCCCGAGATCGTTACTGCACAGGTCCGGTCTTGAAATCGCTACTGCGCAGGTCCAGTCCCGAGATTGCTACTTGCGCAGGTCCGGTCCCAAAATCGCTACTGCGCAGGTCCGGTCCCGAGATCGCTACTGCCCAGGTCCGGTCCCGAAATCGCTACTGCGCAGGTCCGGTCCCAAAATCACTACTGCGCAGGTCCGGTCCCGAGATCGCTACTGTGCAGGTCCGGTCCCGAAATCGATACAGGTCTTGTCCCAAAATCACTACTGCGCAGGTCCAGTCCCGAGATCTCTACTGTGCAGGTCTGGTCCCGAGATCGCTACTGCCCAGGTCCGGTCCCGAGATCGCTACTGCGCAGGTTCGGTCCCGAGATCGCTACTGTGCAGGTCCGGTCCCGAAATCGCTACAGGTCTTGTCCCAAAATCGCTACTGCGCAGGTCCGGTCCCGAGATCGCTACTGCGCAGGTCCGGTTTTTTAAAAATCGCTACTGTGCAGGTCTGGTCCCGAAATCACTGCTGCAGAGGTCTCGTCCGGAAATTGCTACCGCGCATGTCTGGTCCGGAAATTGCTACTGCGCAGGTCTGGAAATCAGGTCTGGAAATCGCTACTGCGCATGTCTGGTCGGGAAATCGCTACTGCAGAGAGTTGGTCCCGTAATCGGTACTGTGGAGGTCTGGTCCCGAAATCGCTACTGTGCAGTTCTGGTCCCGATATCGCTACTGCAGAGAGTTGGTCCCGAAATCGGTACTGTGGAGGTCTGGTCCCGAAATCGCTACTGCGCATGTCTGATCCCGAAATCGCTACTGCAGAGAGTTGGTCCCGAAATCGGTACTGTGGAGGTCTGGTCCCGAAATGGCTACTGTGCAGGTCTGGTCCCGAACATCGCTACTGTGCAGGTCTGGTCCCGAAATGGCTACTGTGGAGGTCTGGTCCCGAAATCGCTTCTGTGTAGGTCTGGTCCCAAAATTGCTACTGTGCAGGTCTGGTCCCGAAATCACTACTGCGGAGGTCAGGTCCCGAAATCGCTACTGTGGAGGTCTGGTCCCAAAATTGCTACTGTGCAGGTCTGGTCCCGAAATCGCTTCTGTGTAGGTCTGGTCCCAAAATTGCTACTGTGCAGGTCTGGTCCCGAAATCGCTACTGTGGAGGTCTGGTCCCGAAATCGCTTCTGTGTAGGTCTGGTCCCAAAATTGCTACTGTGCAGGTCTGGTCCCGAAATCGCTACTGTGCAGGTCTGGTCCCGAAGTCGCTACTGTGCAGGTCTGGTCCTGAAATCGCTACTGCGGAGGTCAGGTCCCGAAATCGCTTCTGTGTAGGTCTGGTCCCAAAATTGCTACTGTGCAGGTCTGGTCCCGAAGTCGCTACTGTGCAGGTCTGGTCCCGAAATCGCTACTGTGCAGGTCTGGTCCCGAAATCGCTTCTGTGTAGGTCTGGTCCCGAACATTGCTACTGTGCAGGTCTGGTCCCGAAAATCGCTACTGTGGAGGTCTGGTCCCGAAATCGCTTCTGTGTAGGTCTGGTCCCGAAATCGCTACTGTGCAGGTCTGGTCCCGAAATCACTACTGCAGAGGTCAGGTCCCGAAATCGCTACTGTGCAGGTCTGGTCCCGAAATCGCTACTGTGCAGGTCTGGTCCCGAAATCACTACTGCAGAGGTCAGGTCCCAAAATTGCTACTGTGCAGGTCTGGTCCCGAAATCGCTACTGTGCAGGTCTGGTCCCGAAATCGCTACTGTGGAGGTCTGGTCCCGAAATCGCTACTGTGGAGGTCTGGTCCCGAAATCGCTTCTGTGTAGGTCTGGTCCCAAAATTGCTACTGTGCAGGTCTGGTCCCGAACATTGCTACTGTGCAGGTCTGGTCCCGAAAATCGCTACTGTGGAGGTCTGGTCCCGAAATCGCTTCTGTGTAGGTCTGGTCCCAAAATTGCTACTGTGCAGGTCTGGTCCCGAAATCACTACTGCGGAGGTCAGGTCCCGAAATCGCTACTGTGCAGGTTTGGTCCCGAAATCGCTACTGTGGAGGTCTGGTCCCGAAATCGCTTCTGTGTAGGTCTGGTCCCAAAATTGCTACTGTGCAGGTCTGGTTCCCGAAATCGCTACTGTGCAGGTCTGGTCCCGAAATCGCTACTGTGCAGGTCTGGTCCCGAAGTCGCTACTGTGCAGGTCTGGTCCCGAAATCGCTACTGTGCAGGTCTGGTCCCGAAATCGCTACTGTGGAGGTCTGGTCCCGAAATCGCTTCTGTGTAGGTCTGGTCCCAAAATCGCTACTGCGCAGGTCTGGTCCTGAAATCGCTACTGCACATGTGTGGTCCTGAAATTGCTACTGCGAAGGTCTGGTCCCGAAACCACTACTACACACACACAAGTTCCTGATTTATCACATGCTTGATTCATCTTCTCCCCAACTACTTTGACTGGAGATGGCATTATTACCCCCCACCCGAATTCAGTGCAGAACTGGGAGGATAACATGGCGACGTGGCCAAGCATAACGTACAGCAAGATTTTCTACTACCTCGTGCAACCCATGGCAATAGATGGAAAAGC